TGATGGGAGCTGTCTCCCCCTGGCCCCTTAGCCCCCTAACTCCCTAGCCCAATGCTCCTTTTCTCATAGGAACACACCAAGAATAGATGGACAGCAGCCGAGCCCTCACCCACAGGCCATCTGCCTCCTCCTGCCACAGCTGAGGGTTCCAGGAAGTACACATGGAGGCCGACTCCCTCTGCAGGTGTTGCTGCGCCCACTTCTGGAATCCCCTTCCATCCCAGGCCTCCTGCGGCTTGGGAAGCAGTGGAATAAACATGGGCTGTGGCCTCAGGTTCCCCTTCTGTGCAATGGGAACAGGGACCCTGCAGCAGCTCTAGGGGTGCGGTTGGCCAGGAGGGCAGGAGCCCAGCCAGGGTCCCCAGGTTTGGCGATACCAATCAGCGGGCAGCAGCTGCCCCCAGGAGGAGGCCCGTCGATGGCAGATAGGCCGCGGAGAGTATTATTCACGGGCCGTCCAGCCCCGGGAACGTCTGGTTGGCATAGAAACAGGAGATAAGGGGTACAATTAATGGCATCACATTCCCTCCTCCTTTCTTCCCCAAGTGACCCATTTAAATCCCTGGCGGGGCTGGTGCCATGCTGGGCTCCCAGTGACCTCCAGGGAGGGGCTGGCTGGGCAGGCAGGGCTCGGCCAGGGCTCAGGCCCCTGGGCAGGGCTGGCAGGAGGCTCCCCAAGGAGCACCCCTGTGCAGCAGCCTCTCAGGAAGGAGGCCCTTGGGAAACCTGGCCAGGGCTGCACTGGACCCCAGAGTGGCTCCGCTCCCAGAGACCCATTTCACAGATGTGGAGACTGAAGCCAGAGAAGCCTGGGGGCAGATGGACAAGAGGAAGGTAGATGATGCCCACAGGCAGGCTGCTTCGGAGCTTGGGGCTGGGCTACCTGCGGTCCTACTCTGCTTTCCCACTTCTCTGGGGGAGAAACCGAAGCAACCTGTGCTCAGTTTCCCCAGACGTAAAGGTGATAAGAACAGGACCTATTTTCAATTGATATGTGAAGGCCCAGAGTAATGTCTATGTTAGCTATTGTTAATATTATTACTGTCCGGTGCATCAGTGAACTGCTCATCTTTCCTGAGGCCCAGGAGTGCAGGAAAACCAAGGACTATCTAGAGCCAGGGTGGAAGCCAGCCTCAGGGGGCGCAGCTGGGCTCTGGTGTCCACCTGGCCCACGTAGGCCTGGGGGCAGGCCGCAGCCCTGTGAGCAAGGTCCTCCTAGACTCTCAGCCCTTTGTCCCCTTGGCTCACTAGAGGAGGGTCCCCATGCTCCCACGACTCTGAAGAGGGGGCCAAGGTCAGCGGAGGACTCATGTCCCTGCTGACCCCTGGATGGCAGGTGATCACACCTATCTTTCACAGAGTGTAAACTGAGGCTGTGGAAGGCAAGTGAATTGCCCATGGTGGCTCTGCATCAGGACCGGCCAGGTGGCCAATTTCCCTCTTTCCTTACCCCTCTGCCATCCTGGCGAGATGCAGGCACTGCCAAGTGGCCCGGGGGCTTCCGTACTTGGGAGGAGAATGTGCTTGGCTCTGTGCAGAGTTCCCAAAAACTCAAGGACGGACCACCCCTTCTCCCTCCTGGGCCTCACCCGCTTTCTGGAACTGGCCTCACCACCAGAAGGTACCGCCAGCCCCACAGGCAGGTGCTGAGTGGCTCGACAGTGCAGGCTGAGTCTGAAGCATGGAGTGAATTAGTCATCCTGTGGCCACCAATAATTCGTTTAATCAAACTCCGAGAATGTGTGAACAACGCCCTCCCAGGAGATTGGGTGGCTGCTGGAGGGGGATGGGCGGGGCATGCAGAGAAGCCCCCTCCTACCTGGCGGGCCTGGGTTTCCACTTGGCATCCAGGCCCATGTCCCTGAAGGGCCCCTCCTGCCAAGTGGGCCCCACGGCATCACCAGTTTGACCTGGCGGCTGACTCCTGTCAGCATGTTTCAGAGGGGGAACCTGAGGCCTGGACCACCCTCCTCCTCACCTCCTCACACAGGCATCTGTCTTTTCCCTAGCGTCCGTCCGGTGCCTCTGAGCCCTTCACACCCCCGACAACAGCTGGGAATCATCATCCTATTTTTCAGAGGGGGAACTTGAGGGCAGCCCATTGACCCTGGAGGCACCTCCATGGCAGGCCTACTACTGAGCTCGCTGGAGGTACATGGGACATGCCCCCAGCTGGACTTCTACTTAGGATCCTCCACCTAAGCCAGGGCTGGGACCCAGGGCATGCATACAGCAAGTGCTCAATAAAGACCTGCTGAGTGAACCGAGGCAGGTCTCCCATCCTGATCTGGGGGACCTGCTTGGAAAGACCATCAGCACCCTGGCTCCCCCCTACAACCCACCCCCCCCAGCCTGGGAAACGGAAATCACCTTGATTTTTTTCAGCTAAACTCCAAGCAGGGACACCTCCCACTTGCCAGAACACACACCACCCCCAACGCCATTCAAGGGGAAACATGCTCCCTCCTGGAGGTGACAAGCCCCACCTCTGGCTATCTCACACCATCAACTAGGAATCCGGAGGGTGTCCCCTCCCCTGGCCATGAGCTCGGGGCCAGCAGAGCCACTTTCCTTTCATTTTGACGGACTGTACCACCCGCAGGGGAGGATCAACTTCTTGGCAATTAAGTATGTTTGGGAAGAAAACTCGTGGAGACGACCGGGCGCAGACCCGCCCCCCCCACCCCGCCCTGGCCCAGGTCCGAGCCCCACTCTCCCCGCCCAGACTCCCCCGTGCTGTTGTTGCCTCGAACCCGGCCGGGCCTGGTGGCCACAGATAAGGCCTCTTATCGCTCCTGGCGATCGCCATCCGGCCGACCGGCCCCGCGCTTATCTGAGCTCCCATCGACCCGGGAGGGAGGCAAGCTCGGCGGGCCGGGGGTCCCCGGGCAGGGCTCTGCCCCGCGCTCCCCGCCAGCCCGCCGGGCCTATCGTCTCGGCCATCTGGCCGGCCAAGGCCGCGCTCCTGCCTCGCCCTCCCCCGCTCCCACGTTTGAAGTTAATAAATGGAAGCGCCTATCGCCTCCGCCATCGGTTGCGCGCCTTATCGCACGGCACATCTATCTCCGCGCGGAACAAAAGGCGCACGGAGGCGCGGGCAGCTGCGCCCTGGCTTCGGTGAGGGCGCGGGGGGCGGTGGCCCCAAACGCCCGGCCCCCTCCCTTCCACACCCGCGCGGCCTGGTCGCAGGTGAGGCCGGCGCGGCGGGCGCGCAGCTGCCAGGGCCGCACGCACCGCCGCGGGCAGAGGGCGGGCGGGCGGGCGGGTGCCGCCGCCGCCGCTTGGTGACAATCAGCGCTCGCATCTTAACGCGCCGAGATCTGCCAGAGGGAGGAGGCGCCCGGGGCGGGGGGCCGCAGGGAGGGTGCCCGGCCCGCCTGCCGCGTCCCTGCCCCTGGCTGGATCCTGGCCGCGCAGAGGGTCAGCAGCGGGGGCTGGCCCGCGGGCCCCACGCGGTCCATGTCCCCAAGGCGCAGCGCTCCACCGACCCGGCCCGGCCGGCGCTCGCCCTGCTCGAGGCCTTATCGGCGCTGTCGATCGGTTCCCAGCCTGAGATCTCCCTGCCCGCGCTATCTGTATCTCTCATCACGCTGAAACACATACACACGCACAGAGAACAGACCGAGCAGAGGCGCACAGGGGAGGAGGGGAAAGAGAAACCAGAGACCCGGCGCCGATCGGGACCTGTGGGTGGTTCGAATACTTAAGTTGACTTGATAGAAGGCGACTTTCGGAAAACAGGTCCCGCGTGCACATTAGGGGAGTGGGTTACGGAAATCCAGATCCATGCTTGCATCCCCCGAGCTAGGACCTGGGGGTAGACACTCCCCCCAGGCGCGCACATGGTATCCCGGTGGCCTTGATGGTGTGGACAGACGAGGCAATGCCCGGGTGCCTCGGGCTGGTCAGAGGGCTGGAGGCACCCTCTCACCTCCCAGCGGGCCTGGGAGATGCGACCCCCGGAGGAGGAAACCTCGACCTCGGGCCGTGGCCCAGAGGCGCGAAGTTACTGGTGTGGGGTGGGGAGCGGCGCTTCCTGTGTGCTCGCTCTCTCGCTTGTCGCGCAGCCGAGTGGCCCAAAGTGCGCGGCGCTTTTATCATGGGGCACTGGCAGCTTGAACTCCGCTGCTGCGCAGTCCCCTGGGGAGTGACCCACAGGCCGGAATAGGCGAGAAACTTGGGAAAAGCACAGAGGCAGTCATGACCTGGGGCTGGGTCCCCAGAAGCCCCCTTTTCCTGGTTTGGAGAAGCCCCTGGGATAAGGGGGGGTGGGGGCTACCTGCCTGCAGCACGTGCGGCCTTGGCCGGGGCAGGGAGTAAGGTCGGACCTCCAGGGGCTGTCCCTAGGCAGGCAAGGCTCGAGTGAGACCCGGGCGGCCGGGCGCGGGGTCGGAGCCGAGCGCACGGGCTGCGGGGGCCGCCCCCGCCCCCACCCCGGTCACGCGGGTTCTGGGGCCAGCCGGAGAGGCGGTGGGCACGGGCCGGCTCCGCCACTTGGGCACGCATTTCCACGCGGCCCGGGTGCCCCCGCTCCCTCCCGGTCTCTGTTTCTCCCTCTAGATACAAAGCCTGGGAGAGTCAACCGCGCTGCGAGATAAGATCACAATTTCAGCCCGTCCCGACAGAGCGATCTTATCAGGATGGGACTTGCAGAATGGAATATTTTAAACTTTATCTGAGCCCAGATCGGGGCCGCCTTATCGCCGCACCATCTCGGGGATGCGGGGGAGGGGCAGGACGCGAGGTGGCCGCACCCCCAGCCGCCCCGCTGCGGCCCCCCCCGCCCCGGGCGGGCCCCCCTGCGGGCCGGACCCCGTTGCGAGCGCCGAGACGCGGGGCCGGGCCGGCGGAGGTTAGATGACCGCGCGCTCGGCGCACAGCGCGGGGGGCGCGCGGCGCGGGGTGAAGGTCGCGGGCGCCGGGAGCCCAGCGGGTGAGCGTGCGGGGGCGGGCCGGCGGGGGCACCGGGGGTCGCGGCCGGCGGGCAAAGTTTGACTCACGCTTGATCTGCCGGGGGTTGCTCTGTTTCCTCCTGGACATGTCTCCGGCGCCGCGCGCCCTCCCGGCGGCCGCCTCTAGCCCCTGGCGGGCGGCGGCGGGCGGCGGGGGCGCGGCGGGGCCGCGGGGCGGCTCATGCCCCCGGCCCCCGGGCTCCGCGGCCGCCCCGGCCCGCGCCCCAGCCCGCCGCGCCCGGCCCGGAGCCGCTGCGGAGGCCGGAGGCCAGGCCCTGCGCTGCGGGCGCGCCGACCGCCGGGGGCGGCGGGCTGCTGCCGGCTCCTCGGCTCCCGCGCAGACGCCGCCGCCGCACCCGCTCGGCTTTTCTCAATGGAACCTGCGGGCAGCGCGCGGAGAACCGGGCTGCCGCGGCCGGGGCGCTCCCGGCGGGCGGGCGGGCCGGCGCCGAGGGGGCGGGGCCTGCGCGTCCCCGGCGCCGCACCTCCGGCCCGCCCCCGCGCTGGCCCCGCCCCCGCGCTGGCCCCGCCCCCGGAGGATCCTGGTTCCCTACGATACGGCCCCGCCCCCGCGCTGGCCCCGCCCCCCGCTGGCCCCGACCCCGGAGGATCCTGGTTCCCTACGATACGGCCCCGCTCCCGCGCTGGCCCCGCCCCCCGCTGGCCCCGCCCCCGGAGGATCCTGGTTCCCTACGGTACGGCCCCGCCCCCCGCTGGCCCCGCCCCCGCTGGCCCCGCCCCGCTGGCCCCTCCCCCGGCCCTGGCTAGACCTCGGGCTTCCTCGGCTCCTCCTTGGGTCCCGCAGCTTTGTCTTCAGGCCCAGCTCTGATTCAACCACCTACTCTGTCCCGCCGCCCGCGGCACCGCGTCCGGCCGCGCTTCGGGCCGCCCTGGCTCCGCCCCTCGGCGCTAGCTCCGCCCCGAAGTCTGACCCCGCCTGGCTCTGCTCACCCCTGCGCCCCGCCCCTGACCCCCGTGGCTCCGCCCCCAGGCCGTCGGCCCCGCCCAGGACCCCTGCCCTCCAGACCGCCCCCTCCAGCTGCAGGACGAGCGCGGTGGGGCCGGGTCAGGAAGCCCGAGGCCTCGACTCCCCACAGTGCCTTGGGCCAGATTTCAGGTGTGCAGTTGTCTGTGGCTGAGTGGGGATCTGTCCGAGACAGGTGGAAGCAGCATCCCCTGGTGCGATCCCCACATGGAGAATGGGGACCTCGGGCCTTCCTCCCTTGGGCTCTGGTCTGGCTGGAAGTCGGGAAGCCTGCAGAAGCCAGCAGCCTTTCCCTGCTGCCCCTGCAGCACTCCTCCCCCACTCAGCCCCGCACTGTCCTCAGTAGGCTGTGACTTCCCAGGGAGTCCTTGCCCAAGGAGGAGGCCCCGCCACGGGGCTGAGCGGACACCTGCGTCCCCTCCCAGCCTGGAACAGGCTCAGTGTCGTCTGTTCCAGTCCTGGAAGTGGACACTGACCCTCCTGTCTTTGGGGACATATTCACGGTCTCCCAGAGGCCCCCATTTTCTACTGAAGCTCACGTTACACTGCATTAGGAACTGTGCCCCCAGGTTGAATAGTGTTCTCTTATTTTCATATTCTTGACTTGCATTTGGTACCTGCTCCCTCTGCCTCGTATTCAGAAGAAATAGGGGGTGAGCGAGGCCTAGGGGCTAAGCAGAAGACTTTTGTAAAGAAGACAGCCTTGCTGTCATTCCCAAAGTAGGGCCTTACTACAGAACGAGGACCTGGGAGATGGAAGGAGTCCCAAAGGAGGGGCTGTGAGCTGGCACCAGGGCTGGGTGTGAGGCTCCATGCACAGTATGTGGCACTCAGGCTGGCGCTGCTGCAAAGGCTGGGGATCTGCGCTGAGTAGGATGCAGAGGGTGCGCAAAAGAGAGACAGCCATGCTTTCTCAGTGGTGCCTGTCTAGGCCACAGGGAAAGATGGCTGTCACTTTGGCTACTTGTTTCCCAAGGACACATCCACCTCTCCCAGTGCCGCAGAGGCAGGGGTGGTCCAGGAGCAGAAACTGCTGACTAGGACCCACTACTATTTTGGGGTCTTAGTGCAGAAGGAAAACATGGGGCTTCTTGCTTAAAAACTAAGAATTTCAGGGCAGCCAAATTAGAGCGTTAAACCAAGCGCAGGACCCCACATTCCTGCACGGGTCACACCTCCCTGAGGCGCCGAAAGGTCCTGACCCAGGACAGAGCTGTTTCTGGAGCAGTTTCCTTCTGTACTTTGCCCCTTCTGTCCGCCCCGTGGGAAGATATTATTACCCCATGGCCCAGAAGAAGAAACTGCAGCCTGTTTAGGACTAGTGGCAATGCCATAGGACCTTGCTGGCACAGGCTGCCACACATCGGGGGAGGCCTGTTGATACTCAGGAACAAGGAGCAGGAAACACTGCTGAAAGGACAGGCTATGTGAGCCCAGAGTAGGAGCCACCACCTCTGCCTGAGGAATTCAAGGTAGGCTGCCTGGAGAAGGTGACATCTGAGTGCAGCTTTGAAGGGGCCCCTGATCAGGTGGGAGAGGAGATGCAGGGTGTGGAGTTGCTGAGAGTGTGCAGGTTAAGCCCACTGTGAGCCCATTCCCTCTGGCTCCTGCATGTCTGCAAGGAATGCTAGGGTTCACATCCCAAAGCCACTGGTGAAGAACATAATATTGCGTGCAGGCCGTGTGCGCGGTTGGCAGTGCCTGATGTGGAGCTGGGTTGCCCAACCACACCCTGGCTGTTCCCTGCTCACTGGATCTGAGCTTTTGGTAGCTGCCTGCTGGCTGGGGTTGCAAAGCTTCCCGGAGGCCACCTGGGTAGGCGCCCAGGGTGTCTGGGCCCAGGCCTCTCCTGGCATGGCTTTGACTGGGGCACCGGCTCTCAGGGTGGTCATCATCCCCATGCGCCCCACCTTCGTGAGCCCATCCTTCGGGCTGGTTCATATCTTCTCACGATGTCCTTTTGCTGTGCTCTGGTGGTTAGGACCGGCAGAAAGTGGCTGAGCTGGAACTGGGACCCAGTGGGCTGCGATGGGGGTGACGAAGACGCGGAGGCTCAGGCAGGGTGACGCTGGGATGTGACCCCAGGCTGCTGAACTCCAGAGCCCACATGCTGAAGCCTGACCTAGGACCAGGAAAAAGTGGGTCCAAATCCCGGTTCTGCCACTTTGGAGGGTATGACCCTCTCCGGGGCCCTTGGTTTCCTCGTATGTAAGTGGGGGTGGGGGTGAGACCCCTCAGGGTTCCTCTGGCCTGGATGCCTCTGCAGTTCTGGGCTCTTGTCCTGGTCCACCTCTGTCCTCTGGCCTGTGGGCTGGCTGCCTGAGGGTGTGCTCTGTGCTGCCCCAGACCCTGGGAGGGCTGCCCCAGTTTGGGCAGTTGCTGGGGTGGGGAAGGGGCTCCCACTAGCCAGGCCCTGCACTGGTTTTCAGGCTGTAGGGGCTCCCACTAGCCAGGCCCTGCACTGGTTTTCAGGCTGTGACAAGGGAACCACAGCTTGTTCTAGAAACCTAAGTTTGCCCTTGAAGGAGGAAGAGGATGCTCACAGAAGAGTGGTGCCAAGGGCATCCTTGCTAAGGGAAGAGCAGGTGCAGAGGCTGGGGGGAGCCTGGGGCCGGAGCAGACCGCGGAGCATTTATGGAGGCCAGGATGGATGAGGGGCCTTCTTTCTGAGACACTTGCCCTCCCCGTAAGCAGGGCTTCACCTACTTATAGCTGTGAGACGCACCCTGATACAGTGCCCCCACCCCACCCTGCTCCAAGCCCCTGTCCTCGTCACCCCACTCATAGCACCACCACTGCTGCCCACTCCGCTGGACCCCACAAGGTCAGTGCCATCCTCACTGCAGACTGAAGCCAGTGGGATCTTCCCAGAAGCCATTTATAATGGTCTTGGGCTCAGCCCTGCCCATCTCTACCTCCTCCTCTGAACTTCCTCGTCTATGGGTCCACGGGCCCTTGCACAAGCTGTTCCTGCTGCCAGAAAGCCCTTCCTCTGGGAAGCCCACAACTGCTCCAGACAAGATCAAGCTCTCGTCTCTGCTCCAGCTTGTGGGGCCTGGCGTCTCTTCTGGGGGCACCTGGAGCTCCATCACCTTATACCAGTGGCGGGGTGTGGGTGTCCTTGGCGCCTGGCACACATGTGACGAGCACTAACAGGTCAATGCGTTGCCTGCGCATAATGGCCTTCTGAAGAAGGGACTGTTAGAATTCCCATTTGCTGGAAGAGTAAATTGAGGCTCAAAGAAGTGAAATAAGTCTCTTGCCCAAGGCCACAACAGGTGAGTGGCAGAGCCTGGGCCTCCACAGGGCCAGGGAGTGTGCACACTCTGTTCCAGAACGGATGCCGGCAGTGGTGGGCGCCTTGGCGGAGAGGGGACCCTGCGCTGCTGGCCGTGCTCCGCCCCGCCTCGCCCCGGTCGCCGCAGGCCCTGGAGCAGCCGGCAGCCGGCTGGCCTGTCCTGACATTCATCAACACTGGCTCTGTGAAGGGTTTAATTAACTTCCTGTTGCAATGGGGGGATAATGAGTTTTAAGCGCCACGTGACTCTGTAAGGAGGTCAAACGGCAGCGAGGATGTCAAAATAAATTAAGTTAGGAATCAGGAGGCCGCCTGCGGGAGGGGCAGGGGAGGAGCCCAGACAGCTTTGGTGACAGTGAGGTGTCAACCGGGCCACCCTCGGCAGGCGGGTGTGGGGGGGCGCTGCCGCCTCCGTCGCCTACTTGGCAGGGTGGTGGGTGGCTCAGGCATCTGCCCACAGCTGAGGATCCTGTCTGACCTCCAGGATGTCTGAGGGACAGGGAGAGCGGGGCCGGGACCCCACCGGACTGGCCTTTCCTGCCCTGGGGCCTATGGTCCTCTGTGAGTCCAGCGTCTCAGATATCCTGGGACATGAGGGCTCTGGGCTGCGGTTGGGGCTCAGGGGTTTGTGAGAGGCCCCCTTTCATGCAGCTGCCCACGTGTGGCCATTCACGCCGCCAGGCAAGGCCGTGTTGGGCGCAGACAGGAAATATTATCTGGATATTTCCCAATCCCTGAGAGTTGGGGTCATGTGACATCACCAGATAGGAAACGCTCAAGTCCCCACTGGCCTCCTGCCTTTCCTTCTCCTTCTCTCCGCACTGCTTCCTGCCTCCCCTCCTGCCCTACGCCCTTCCTCCCTTCTCCCCACTG